TTTTTAAATGTATTTATGCTGTACGATTATTTTGTAAAGACAACAATAAGTATGCAGTCTTCCATAGCTACAACTGGCCTCAAGTGCTGGACATGATATCACTCTGCTGAATGAGTCTTTGAACCCCTTTATGCCCCAATGGCCTGTTGTTTTAAGCAATCATTGAACATGGCAGAGTGAATGCAATGCTGTAATATCTTAAATAATGTGTTGCCATGCTGAACGGTTGAGGCGTGAACAAGAAGGCGCCTCACATATACCTCATATCACAGTAACCCAGGGACGCAGGAGTGATGGTTTGATGTATGTAGCAGAAATGCTGTTTGTGTGTAAAAATAAGTCATGTTTCTGTGTGACTAGTTTTAAACATTTGTGTTCATGACATTTATGTGACCCACTAAGACATGATGCTTAAGGGTTTCTGTAATTGTCGGAAGCCAGCCAGTGTTCAGTCTCTTCAGTTCGACCGCTCTCCTCCAGATCTGATTTGCCATATTGTTTCAATATGCTTATTGTTTACAAAAAATGTACAAAACACTAAATCTTAAATGAATTCTGACCCCTGTATACATTTTAATTTTAGTATATTTTCCCCCTTTTTTTTATCACCGCCAATTTTTTTTAGCTGATATCTTCCATTTTTATTTTCTTCCAGCTTCTTGTGACACGTTTCACAAGACTACTTGTCCAATGAATTTAAAACTGATTAGGGATAAAAAAATAAAAAAATACTGTTATCAAGAGCTGTTCTGTCATCCTTTTTGTGAGCAGTGCCGTTATACATGTTGAAGCATATGCATGTTTACACTAAAATGAATGTATCGGAGGCTTATTAGGAAAAACTGTCCCTACAGCATGTTTGGTAGCATAACGGGCTTACTGTATCTCAGCTGTTTATTTCCACCACATGGTGGTGTTGGTGTTCTACAAGTGAAAGGTCCTCAGTTATCAAACCCTAATGCCGCTCTAATATGCTTTGTTGCTTATCCATTCTTTATAATTCCCTTTTAGCAACTTTGTCGCTGTTTGATAGATTTGTATTAAGAAAGCATGGACTTAAACTGCATCTCTGCTTGAAATTCTATTAAGTTTTAAATGCAGGCCTGCTTTACTGGCAATTGCAACACCCACTTGGCTCATTCAACAGCTCATCTTTGGATTCTAATGCTGCTAATCTTTTTCTTTTAAGACCAGGGCTTAATAGACTTGTTGGTTTACATTCACTCGTAAAATGCCATCACACCTCATAAAACTGCAAAAAAGCTGCATGTTTCAGGATGCAATACGAAAACTAAAACGTCATCTCTAAATGAGTCGTTCCCTGTCCCGGTTTACTACATTTCCCCGTTTCCAGGATTTTTAGAGCACATGAAGTACATCACCGTTAATGTAACATTAACACGGTAAATGTTAGTTTATATGTAGGTTATTTAAGCAAACCATTGGGAAAAACTGAACGTATATATTATTCATTTATGGCGAATCTTAGTCATTCCTGCACTGCTACTGCTTATACATTCACAAATCAAGGTACATTTGCAAAACAAACAAAACACGGAAATAAAAGTAATATTAAAGCAGGCAACGAGTGTCCTCGATACACAAGATGTTGAGTCAATGTAAGTTAATATAGATAAAGTATTTCTTTAGTCCCCTCTATCAAGACGCTGCAGCACGGCCACCACTGCACGTCCAAAGAAATATAACCTTTGATATTCATATCACTATCAGTGATTTCATATTCTCTAGTTCCCATTTATTATCTCTTCAGGGAATTAACCACCTTCCTCAAAGTCATTCAAAAAGAGATGTAGGTTGTCTTCCCGTCACCAAAGCATGAAACCTGCATTTCATGTGTGTTTGTCTTGCAAACATTAACTTTCAAATCTTTCCACAGCTTCTGTTATCCACACCCAAAACCTGCATGATTCAGCGCCAATCCCATTTTGTCCAGTGAATAAATGACTGACTAAAATATTGACCTTTGTGATAATGATATGATCAAAGATGTTGTGGATTTGCTATTTCTAAACATTGTAAGAAGTGTGCATCATCATGAGTCAGTAAGCCCATTTCACTCATTGTTTGAAAATGGGGAAGCCATAAAAGTTTTGAGCAAGAATGGTCAAGGTGTGATGCAGGGATTTTATTACCTTACCACATCGTTTTGATGTTTGATGAACTGTTATTAGTGAGGCTTCGGTCTCTCTCTCCTCCAGAGGACGCAGGTCTGTTGACAGGGCGGATGCGAGAGTGACGGGAATATGATGTTCTTATCTTCAAAGCTGGGAAGAAGTTACATATGGGGTTGTGTACACAGAGAGATAGTGAATGGGGAACAGCAGCAATAAAAACAGGAGTGAGTTTTAATGCTGTAGAATGAGTCATTAGTTAGTTTAATTAAATACAGAATGCAAATAAGTCTTTTTAGGCACACTATTGTTGGCTACAGGAATAAAAGTATATGTCTGTTGGTTAGTAAGTATACCACTTTGGTTACAGAATGAAATATTTCAATGACTACTTGATGGATTACTGTTATATTCTTCACATCTAGAAGATGACTCCTAGTGGCTTTGGTCACTGCGTGATTTTTCGTATCGTGCCACCATGAGATGGACATCTGTGGTGTTGAGTAAAACTTTTCAAAATCTATTTAAGTAGACAGGACTTTGTTTGAGACTTAGATGTCCTTTCTAAGATAAATGTAAATTCCAATTGGTTACCCCTTCACCTTTACGGCTATTGCCAATGCCGTCCTACTTTGTATTTACCTTCTCATCTGCCTCAGCTGTACTTTGTGTTTATAACAGCTCATAAGCACATCTTAGCATGCAACATTGCTCAATAAGAACATGACGAACATGATACGTGCTCAACATCAGAATGTTAGCTTTCAGATTTGAGCATTTGGCTTGAACACTACTGTGCTTTAGTAGAGCCTCAGAGAGCTGTTTGCACGTTTGCTTGTCTTTTTATTTTATATTGGGATACAAATAGTTAACATGTCAAGACTTTGATGTGGTCCACTTAGAACATTTGATCATCTTTATCCAATGTTAATAATTATGACGTTTTTTATTATTAAGTTTGTTTCTCTCTTTGGTTGAAAATAAATGCTTATCTAAAAACGTAAATATTAAGCTGGACAAACATTTTGCTCAGAATCCAGTCCTGAAATAAGACACATGTGTCAACACTAACATTGATATTGGTTGCCAGGTGAAAAAAGTCAACACAATGTATTGAAAAATGGTGCAATGTCCAAAAGCATTTGCATGAGATAAGAGTGAGGTCGGCTAGGTGTATGTGTTTACACTGCTGGACATTCGTTATGTCTCTTATGAAGGAGTGTCCCGCAGCAGAGCCATAAAAGCTGTGCTATGGCAACATAGAACATGTGAAAATATAGTTTGGGAATTTGTATTGTTTTATATGAATAAATGAAATAGTTGAATTATAATGTATAGGAGAGCAGTTTTTTTTCAATTGAAAATGTTACTTCTTAGTATTATATTATTAAGATGTAACAGTTTCATTTAAAATTGTCATTTTCAAAGTTTGCATCCTGAAAACTTACCACTGACTAAACAATGAATGAAAAATCAATCATTCATTTGTTTCAGCTTCTGATTAATACACATACAAATAGTTTCTGTATGACAAATATGTCATTGATAAGCAGTCAGGGTGTTTTTATGTAGGCTGACAATCTGTTGGGCTTTCAACTGTAATGTTTTTAAATACATATGACCACAGTGGTAGTTCTTCATTTATATACATGTACTGTTCCTCTCATACGTTTGCTTTTGTTCAACATTTGCAAAATGTAAGCAAATGTCAAAACAGTTGTGCAATAAACAGTGACAATGCACTACAGTATATTGCCAAAGAAAGATTATTGTCTATAAAAAGTCAAACGTTGACTGTAATACTGTGTTTAGTTACAATGGTACAATGGAGTTTTTGTTTTCCAAATGTTATTTTATATAATGTTGGGCCAAAGCAAAGTGTGTTGATGACAATATTCCACAAAGTCTAAGTAAGAAAATACGTTTGTGATTTGATAAACTGAACTTTTTGAACCCAACTCAAGTAGAACAAATAACAAGGGTCTGTCATCAATTGCTTGTTTACTTCATAAAATAGTCTGTGATGTTACATAAACACTGAAAATATAACAGATTCACTTTTTAAGGAGCGGCCCTATAATTTCCTAACAAAGCCTATTTAGACTGAAATGGTTGAGCCCATTTAGAGGATAACAACAGGAAGAAGAGGGATGACATTGACATTTATTATGTTTGAACTCTTGTGCTCTCATTTTCGGACCAGAGTCCACCGGAAAACAAAAGACAAAACCCTTACAAAAGATATTGACAGCATTGAATGGTATTTAAACTTCACATTTATTTAATAGTTGAGTCGACCTGGCCATCTTTAAGTTCTAAAACAGTTGGAACCTCAGAGGACATGGTAATTCAGATAATATCAAATCCACAAAACTAAGTGAATGTTGATTTTAGTTTTACATTGTGGGAATTTAGGGCATAATTTAATTGAGTTCTTATGATATGTATACTAAAACAAAGTGTGTCTGGATGATGTTTAGGTGATTAACTTTATTTAAACGTTTGAGATTCACCAGGAAATATTCTCAATATAGGCCTAATTTGATTGGGTATGGATCATTGTGTGGTGGTCATGGTGAAGCCTAATGATAAAGATCCCTCAGGATAAAAAGTAAATTGCTAGCCCTGCCCAACATAACATGAACACGTTCCTTTTTGTTCACTCTGTGTAAACAATGAGCTAAAAATATGTTTCGTGCACATATAGCTTACTTAACTTCTGTATTGTTGATGACAGGTTCAAGCTCTGGTTTATGGGTGAAGGCAGAACTGCTATGCTCTGAGTGACAGGAGAGCCGGCCAATCAGAGGAGGGACTAAAGCTTTTAATGCTGTCACAGGCTGCAGCTTTCAGTCTGAGCCACCTGTAGCAGGCAGCAGAACAGCCCGGGGAAACAGCGTCTGCACAGCACCGTTATCTCACCGTTATATCCACCGTTATACTCACCGTGACACCGGCGGGACACGGAGCTTCTTCACAGGCCGGTTCTTACAACCGAAGACCGTAAAGATGGTTCTCAGTTATCTGCCTTTTGTGTTTCTCCTGGGCGCTACCGTTAAAGGTGAGTAAAGTTTACATCCCCACTGGTCAATAGACTGGAACACTTTTAAGTGTGTTACTGACTGTGTATTTATGTTTATTTACCACATATTTTATTTGGAGTAAGAGTTGAAGCCTTGAAAAGTAAATTGTTCATGTTTTTGGAACTAGTACAGACTTTATATAGATTGTGACCAGTGGTCCTTTCAAGCAATACTGTTACTACATTATAGTAAAAGCTCTGCATTTAAAGTAAAAGTACAGAAGTATTAACAGTTAAACATATTGTAAACTATTTAAAGTAAGTGTTAGCAGTATGTGTGAAGAATATGTGAAATGTGGTTCTTATTTAGGCTATCTCAGTCAGAAAGTCTAATTGCTCATCATGAGTTATGCATGTATAAAATATATATTATACCAAAGTATAGAAACGATATCTTAAAATATGTTACCACAATTTCCTTCACTGGCAAATATCCTTTCATCATATTATGTATTAGTAGCCTATGTATGCAAGTGTATTATCTATTAAGCGCTTTGAGCACCAGGAAAAGCGCTTTATAAATGTAATGTATTATTATTATTATTGTAATACAATATAAAATAAAATCTAATCTAGGTAGATTACCGTGTATTTATTTGTCTTTGTTCGCTATGAGAACAATATAATGTATTTATAAAACATATGAGTCTATATTTATATAGTATCATAAATGGCCCCACAGTTTACCACCTTTTATCTAGACAAAGTTTTACATAAACACAAAAGTTTGACATTAACAAACAAGAAGATAAAAAAATGTTTTGCATGGCGACAAAAGCTTTTCTCAGAAAACCGACCAGGTAGAACGTTTCCCGGCTCCTGGTAGAAGACATGCCTTGGTACATGTTACAAAATGCAAATATCACTGAAGAAATAAGTAACTCATAGACAAAATTACAAAGATACCCAAATTAAGTTCCAGAACTGGTGGTTTAGCCTTTGCCTTAAATGGACAAGCATTTGTTCATGTTCCTTCTCCTTCTTCTTTTTTTTTATTTCTACACATTCATGTGGTCTTTTCCCCAAATAGTCCTAAACTGACTCACTGGTCCATCAGTGTGACTCAAAGCTCTTTGGGGGTGGACAGATGCCAGCGAGGAGGCATTGGTCAGACAACAGCCGGCTCCCTGAAGCACAACACACTCCTCACACAAAGTTTACTCTGTGTGCGCATGAGAGGACCCCCTCGACAGCGTGGTGAAGCTGCCCTGAGGAATTTTGATGAGCTCTCCACTGTACAGACTCCCTCAGCTTACTTGCAGTTAAATCAATTTGTTATCCTTTTTTCATTATTTTTGACAAGAGTCTGTGTTTCAAGGTTTTATGTATGAAGACTGAGATTTAGTCACTGTCATGTGCCCGAGCCTGGGGGCCGTGTGCATGTTCCCATCCTGCCATGTGTCTTCTTCAGTAGGACACTGGACTGGGAGGCGATGGAGGCTCCAGTTTGTGGCAGTTTGAGTGTGTCTGAAGTAGCAGTAAAGAGGTCCAGATGCAGAGACCTCCTGAGGCTGGCAATCCTCCTCCTCTGAGTCTGGCGCCACATTTTCTTCTGCCCTCTGTAAGAAATCTCCAAGGGAGAGGAGCAGAGCACATTAATGGCTTGCTCTGCTCTCTCTTTTCTCACCGTGGCTGTTTCCTGTCTCAGATCACATTCAGCTTATCATGTGTCATGTTCTGCTGGTTAGTCATCGGTAAGTCATGATTAGAGCATGCAAGGTCTGCTCAGGAGTTAACAGGCAGTTGTAGGAATGTGAAAGGACACAGGCTCATGTCGGTTGGCAACTAATGGTTATTTTAAATATCAATAAATCTCAATTTGATTTACTTGATCAATAGGTAGATAAACGCTTATTATATGGAAAGAGGCCATGGTAATGTCTTTCATTTGGCTGTTTTGTCTTATAGTTTAAACAAGATATTCAATGTAACTCCCATAATTGTTACAGTAGAGCCACAAAACCAAAAGAACATTTGGCATTTTTTCCAAGTGACAGAAACAATTACTCGACTATCAAAATAGCTCCCGCAAAAATGTTCTGTTGATCAATTCATTGTTTTATCATTTTAGCTCACAAACAAGCAAGTATGTAAAAATAAGGAAAACAAATGTGCACTTTTTGGCTCTCTATGCATTTCTTCTTTTGTTTAGATGACGTTTCGGCCCTCAGTCCTTCTTCAACATTGGGAGAAGTACAAACCATGTTTAGTTTCAGTGAACACAAGCATTGTTTTTGTACCAGTCAGTTCCTCCTGATCTTGTTTTTGTTTATCTCATCTTCCTCTTTTGATGGACTCTCACCTAGCACGTATTGTTTCTACCTCCACTTCTCATGCACACTTGTTGCTGTTTCCTGCCTGTCTTTTCTCCTTGTGTCGCTGCGTCCTTGCTGCTTCCTGTTGGATTAGACCTGCTCTGGGGCAGTAAATCTCACTCTGTAATTGGAAAGCATGTGCTGGCAGAGATTTAATTGGATATGATATGTGCAGAGTCCCTGCTCCAGTCAGGGAGCGGCCATCTGTCACATCCGTGTTACAGTAAGACCTCTGCTTGCTCAGATACAGAGAGCTAATTTGGGTCTGCTTTGTCCTATTGAGGACTTAAACTGGGTACCCTCTGAGGGGAGGGGAACAGTATAAGTACCTACAGTATTACATTATCAGCTGGAATAAATAGAGAGAGAGATACCTGCTAAACTTCTTTGAACTTGTCTGCTGTGCTACAGATTGCAATATTAATTGTGCATCAGGCCTATTGCGTCAGCAGCAGGAAGAGCTGTCAGTCTCAGCCAAGATGACATTTTTCCAGATGGGAGAAAGAGAGCAATTCCCTAGCAGGACGAAGAGTGTGGCACTTTAATTCGCTCAGTCAGCTTTATTTCTCCTCTTTAAAGATACACCTCATTGTCTCTATATTGATAGATCAGATTATCTAACTGACATTAAACACAATTGTATGATGATGTTAATAAAGGCAGTACTCTTAACACCTTATGTTAACAATTTACTATTAAATGTTTTTGTGACATTACTTATAAATAAGTACACAGTAGTTAAGCTGAACAAGCAATAATAGTATTTTTAAAAAGCAAGCAATATGAAAACATGAATTGTAATATATATAGTTTCCAATACTGAATACATTAATTCACACTTTCTTGGGTTTAAGTTGGGCAATCCTTTCTAGAAATCTCAAACTCTAAATTGTACCACATTACAAAGATCTTTTCAAGAAACATACTAGATCATTATTAATAAATGAAAGAACCAAAGCAAATACTTCTTGTGCTTTCAGAAACACACTCAAATGCCACAGAAATCAATGAAATCAGGAAATGAATCTTTAGAAAGGCAACAGCTGGCTTTGATTATGGTTTTAAGACCTTCCCTTCCTCTTTTTCTTTTCTACCCCCCAGCCTTTGACTGTAGGTACTGAGTATTTCCATTACCTCCTAGATTGTGAGAAAAATAGGTATTAATGGGCATCACCATTTTATAAAGCCCATGGGATCATGATCAAATGTCTTGTTCTTTTTATAAAGCCTAAAGATACTAAATGTGCCAATCACATGAAACAAAGCAACACATCCAACCAATCTACCATGCAGCTCTTACTGAGTAAATATATCGATTTACAATACAAATAATACTGGCACTTTGCCCAGCCTTTCTCCTCCACCATATGTTGCACCAGTATATCCTCTGATCAGGACTGTGGACAGGGGCACAGCTGGATGACAGGCTGTTGTAGGGGGAAATAAAAGCTTCCTCTCGGTGTTGTGAGGTCGCTCCTGGTGACCGGCTGTGTCGCTTTGATGTAACAGTCCTCAGGACTGTTTTCCCCTTAAGGAGACTGACCTGTGTGTATCTGTTGGTCTACCGTGCCTTTTTTTTAAAAACCCACGATGAGCACCATTAAATAACAGGAGGTCATAAAGCAGTATGCAATAATTGTTGACTCTCATTAGCTGGCAAAAGGACCTTAAGTGTGACCTCTGATTCGCTGCTGATTCAAGTATGCCAGCAGCATTTTTGTCTTTAATCAGCTTGTTTCGGATGTCGTACTGCATGATTTCTGAGACACACATTCTATAGGTCAGCTCTTCACATGACTCGCCTGTTTCCTAATGAGATGCTGCCTTTGGCCTTAAGCTCTTCCTGACTGCCCCTTTCAGTTCATCTTCTGCTCTGTGTGCCTTCTTGAATCAGGGCCATCCTCCTTGCAGTGCTGTTAGTTAAAGAGAAAAACTATTTCAAGAACGCACTTTCCCCTAATCTTAACAATAAACATTCAAAAATATTTAACGGCAACATTGAGATGCCAGGATAATTTTTGTCTACAGCTCTCCATACTTCACAGGAATCATTATGGTGTGTAATGAATACAGGCTTGCTCTGGAGGAGTGGCAGTGTGAACGGGAAGTTGAGGGCGTGCGTTGGGTAACTGGATCTGACAGTCACTTTTTGAGCAGGTACACAGGAGTGCTATTGTCTTACATGAATAGAAATCCTCTGAAGTGCGGCACTGCACTGCAACACAAGCATCAACACTAACGTCTTTCTGACTGTTGGCTTCGACAGCTAGAAACATACATCTCCTTGGCAACAAATACACCTTACTTGATGTCAATGTTGAGAAAGACAGAGGTGGAAAGGCGTGGCAGCTTTAGGGGGCTTCAGTACAGTTAGAGATTGTCATACCGAAGAAGAATGTTGGACCAAAGGCTGGTAGAGCCGGATCTTCTTATCCACATCCTCCTGAATACATGTTTGCATGCCGACCTTAGACCCACTTGTCACCTTGTCATCCCTTTTGTGTCTGCAGGGGATTATCCGGCTGTAGGATAAGTCCTTAGAGACAAGGCTTTTTGTGAGACGTGCAATGCAAAGTGTGCTCTTAATAACTCCATTATTTCAAGTATAGTACACAAACTGTTGGTTTACACTGTCTCATATGGGTTTCATTGCTTTTCCAGTAGGGGTAACCCAAATTCTTCAATAACAGAAGATTGACTATCAGCCCTGTCAAAGACAACAAAAGGAATAGGGCCAAGACATGTGTTGAAGTTTGGACATAAAGTAAATTGTTGCATCTTTTGTTGTATCAGTCTTTGGCTAGGGTGTCCTAGATTATCTGTAAAACTTCACGTTTGATTTTGTGTAAATGGAAATAGAGAAGCAGCACTGGCCTTTAAAAGTGGAAGCAATTGTGTCTTTGAAAAATAGAGTGTACCCTTTTGTTTGTTAATATTAATGCCATGCAAGCTAATATTCTTATTTAGCTTTTGTTCATCACTTGTTTTCATAATCAGACTCAACATGTTCTCAGTATCATTATCTACTTTAGGTATGACTTGTTGGTATATCAGGAATCCCTCAGAATGATAAATATCATATCAGCTTTAGCCTTCTTCAATTAGCCAGCAATCATTGCATGTGAAGGCTACATGGAAAAAAAACTCAGCCTTTACTCATTGTTAATGACATTGTGATGCTCATATCAAGAATCTAGCTTAATAAGATTCTAGGAAACTTTAGTATGTCAACATACCTAAACAAACTCTCATATTTGTTTTCCACTGGTCGTGTTCGACTTCAAACGAAAGCCATTCTCCCTCTCTGTTGCGTCCTACTTGTTATCGTGTTAGCTGCAAAAGAAGTAGGTGATAAGCGTAACACTAGTTTACTGATTGGGATTTCATTGGATTTCACAACTCATCAATGCTGCCAAGATATTTATCTCTCTCTTCTTGAATGATATGGCTCAAACAAGATAGCAATTAGGGTTATTAAATCAAAGGTACCAACTTTCATCCGTCTGTTGGAGTGAGCTTCTGTTTTAATCTTTATGAGAACTTTTTTATTTCGGGAGTCATTTTTGTGTTAGCCAAAGAGAAGAGAGTAAGAATGATTATTGTGTTTTTATAGGGGAGGATTTTACCTTCATGAACTTCTTGTGGGATTCCCTACTTTAGTAATTAACAATCGTAAACTCCGTAGTTATCACAATATTTCCTTCACATTAAATGACACACACACACACACACACACACACACACACACACACACACACACACACACACACACACACACACACACACACACACACACACACACACACACACACACACACACACACACACACACACACACACACACACACACACACACACACACACACACAGAGAGATTGAGAGTATACTAGAGCTAGCTGCCCAGTTTTTATAAAGCACCAGGAATCTAAATAACAGCAACAATTTGGTGTTTTCTTTTAAGAATCAGAAAAACGTTTACCTTTGACATTTTACAGAATGTAAAGTATGCAGGGATGAAATCAAATGCCTGACCTACAACTTAGTAATTCCTTAAAAAATACAAGTCTTCAGAGTTGTTACTCTTCTAAAATGTAACACAGGGCTAATAAAGACAGCGCTGGCTGGATCTGATTGAAGAGGTTTTAATCTTCGGTCATCCAGTAAGATAATTCTATTTCCCTTAAGTCTTAATCAAGACCAACGTGTGTGTTTTAGAGCAATGATCTCATGCTATGCTACTTAACATGTAGTCAGAACTACTTAACTGCCACTCCTTGACTGTATGAACACTACAACTATTTTTATATGAGACTTTATATGTATTTCCCAACTTTCCACAATCATTGTTGATTGCTTAATATCTTATTCCTGTTCCCAATTTTCGATTTGTCACAAGGTGGTTCATTTTTAAATGAGTCTATGTTACTTAACGATAAAGAGATAAGGTCACAAAGGGCCGTGTACACAGAAATCACGCCCAAGATGTAATATCTGTGTTGGTTATTCTTACAATATGCAATTACTTCCTGGAAAATGTTCTTTGTGCAAGGCATCCACGTGTCAGTCATATATCTGGGTTTAGAATATAATTATTCAATGCAATTATTCAGCTCCCACTGTTTGTACGGCTCGTGAAGCTGCCCTCTGGCCCCCTCTCTTCCCTCATAATTATAAAGCGGAGAGTGGGAGCAGGCTAAATGGGAGCAGGCTAAATGGTAACAGGCGTCACATCACCACACTGAAGGCAGCTCTTTCCTTTAAGAAGTTCAAATTAAGTTGGCAGCACTTGTGATTTCTGTGTTGTAAACATTTACCTGTTTTTTTAACTGCCGAATCACACCTTTTGTCTACTCATGCGCACCCAATGTTAAATGTTTATTCAAGACACAATCTCTTAAATAAAAATGTAAATATACATTTAACGGTCTGTCATCAGAGCTCAAACTACTAAGATGTTTGCAATATCACATGTTGGAAAAGTTGTCCTCTTATAAATTAAAGACTAATAGCAGCAATACTGGGGGAAATGAACTTTTGTTTCTTACCTCCTGTTATTATAGTGGACAAATATGTTGGTATTTGGCACATTTGAGTAAAATCATAAAATTACACAAACATCACAGCAAGCTTCCTTTAGAAAGACACTAAGCTAGTGTTCAAGGTTCCCATTTTTTTTTTATCAATATGTTTATTGATTTTCAGCATACAAAAAATCACATACATAGGACGAAGACATAGAGCCAAAAGCAATACATATATACACAGGACAACTACATTACTTTACATTAAATAAATCATAACAACACTAAATTAAATTGGTACATACATACATACATACATACAACAAGGGCACTCTAATACATCGGCAACCATCCAGTTTTCCAGCAACCGTATATCTGCAGAGGATATCACAGTAATTCACATTTTAACATATTATCACTTTATAAACCCGTTATTAAATAGCTGCAAAGAGTTTAAGCACATAGCCTATTGTAATGTGTGTTCACATGAAAAGTGATAGGATCAAGGTTCCCATTTGATGTTAATGAAAGCATGTGATTACATTAGTATATTGAAATGGAAATTGGAGCATGTTAGTGCATTTTGGCTAATTGTTTCTAAATTATGGTCCACAGTTGTTTTTTTTCTAAATGTACTTTTGGGGCTTTTTTATTTAATTTACTATTCAGTACTCTAATGTTACACAGGAAAGGGGTAGAGAGGGGGAAGGACATGTGCCGCCAGCAAAGGGCCACTAGCAGCTATAGTAAGTAGCCTTAGTCATTTCCCCCCTACTTTAAAAGGTGAGCTACCTGGCACCATCTTAGATGTCTGGTTCAATCTCACCACACAGCAGCAGCAGACCTATAATAATCCACCACCTCTATATTCTTATTCTAATGCTGTAAGGCAAGGCAAGGCAAGTTTATTTATATAGCACCTTTCAACACAAGGCAATTCAAGGTGCTTTACAAAAATGAAAGACATTCAGACAAAGGCATTTAAAAACAGTAAAAGATAATAAAAGAAACATTAAAAGAAAAAATACATGAATAAAAAGTACATGAATAAAAAGTTACAGTGCAGTTTAAGATATGAATAGTTCACACAGAAGTTCCACTTTACTGATGAACACAACGGCTCAGTTTCAATTAAAAGCAGCGACAAAAAGATAAGTCTTCAGCCTGGATTTAAAAGTAGTAAGAATTGTTGCGGACCTGCAGGTTTCTGGGAGTTTGTTCCAGATATTTGGAGCATAATAACTGAACGCTGCTTTACCATGTTTAGTTCTGACTCTGGGGACAGAAAGCTGACCAGTCCCTGAAGACCTGAGAGATCTGGATGGTTCATAATTTAGCAGAAGATCAGAAATGTATTTTGGGCCTAAACCATTCAGTGCTTTATAAACCAGCAGCAGTATTTTTGAAATCTATTCTTTGACACACAGGAAGCCAGTGTAAAGACTTCAGAACAGGAGTGATGTGATCCACTTTCTTAGTGTTAGTGAGGACTCGAGCAGCAGCGTTCTGAATCAGCTGCAGCTTTCTAATAGATTTTTTAGTGAGACCTGTGAAGACACCATTACAGTAGTCCAGTCTACTGAAGATAAAAGCATGGACAAGTTTTTCCAAATCCTGCTGTGACATTAGTCTTTTAATCCTAGATATGTTCTTTAGGTGATAGTAGGCTGATTTAGTAATTGTTTTAATGTGACTGTTGAAACTCAGGTCAGAGTCCATGACTACACCTAGATTTCTGGCTTTATCTGTTGTTTTGAACATTGCAGACTGAAGCTCAGCGCTAACTTTTATACGTTCTGCCTTGGCTCCAAAAACCATTACCTCAGTTTTGTCTTTGTTTAATTGGAGAAAGTTCTGACACATCCAGTCATTGATTTGTTCAATGCACTTACTCAGTGTTTGAATTGGAGCATAGTCTCCTGGTGAAATGGTTATGTAGATTTGTGTGTCATCCGCAGAGCTATGGTAACTTATTTTGTTGTTTTTCATTATCTGAGCCAGTGGTAGCATGTAGATGTTAAAGAGAAGAGGCCCCAAGCAGGAGCCTTGAGGAACCCCACATGTCATATTTGTCAACTCAGATTTGTATTTACCTATAGAAACAAAGTTGTTTCTGTCCTTTAAGTAGGATTCAAACCAATTTAGAACTGTTTCCGAAAGTCCCACCCAGTTTTCTAGTCGGTCTAGTAATTATGTTGTGGTCAACAGTGTCAAACGCAGCACTGAGATCTAATAATACTAACACTGAAGTTCTGCCACTGTCTGTGTTTAAGTGGATGTCATTGAAGACCTTTACAAGAGCAGTCTCAGTGCTGTGGTTTGGACGAAATCCTGACTGGAACACATCCAAACAGCTATTTAAATGCAAGAAATTACTCAACTGTACAGCACACATTGATTCTTTTTGTGCTTTATTTTTTCTGCAGGAATGACAGCAACAGATTCCATCACACAAAATGTCTCCACCGATGGAGGAATGATTGATAAGACATCCACCAGTCCTGCAACATCACACATGAGCTTAACTGAAAGTTCAAATCCGAGCAGCAGTCACTCAACCAGCAGTTTTGTAACTTCACCACCATCCACTACAGAGCACTCCACAGCCTCAGTAGCTACTGTAACTATAGAAAAAGCCACTGCAGAATCTACTACTATGGAACCAGACTCCACCCATGCAGAGACTACCTTCTCCCAGTCCTTTACTGAGTCCAGTACCTCCAAGGCAGCAGTCAGCAGCACCATAAATGAGAACAGTTATTTTACCACCGGCAGCCCAACTGACTCTCCATCAGCTCCAACCAGCAGTACAACGCTGTCCACTACAAGCCCTGAGACAAGCCAACCCACCAACACTAGTGAGACCACACATTCAAACACCACACCTGCTTCAGATCACACATTGACATCGAGAACACAAACCACAAGCACCAGCAACGGACAATCCACCATTTCACCAATTACAAGCATTGACACAACTATAAATACGCCGATTACAACCAACGACAGAACTACCATTATGCCGATCACAAGCGACGAAACTACTACAATTACGGCAATTACAAGTGACCACACAACTACCATTATACCAATTACAAGTGACCACACAACTACCATTATACCAATTACAAGCGATGACACAACTACCATTATACCAATTACAAGCGACGACACAACTACCATTATACCAATTACAAGCGACGACACAACTAACATTATACCAATTACAAGCAACGACACAACTACCGACGACACAACTACCATTATACCAATTACAAGCGACGACACAACTACCATTATACCAATTACAAGCGACGCCACAACTACCATTATACCAATTACAAGCGACGACACAACTACCATTATACCAATTACAAGCGACGACACAACTACCATTAAACCAATTACAAGCGACGACACAACTAACATTATACCAATTACAAGCGACGACACAACTACCATTACACCAATTACAAGCGACGACACAACTACCATTATACCAATTACAAGCGACGACACAACTACCATTATACCAATTACAAGCGACGACACAACTAACATTATACCAATTACAAGCGACGACACAACTACCATTACACCAATTACAAGCGACGACACAACTACCATTACACCAATTACAAGCGACGACACAACTACCATTACACCAATTACAAGCGACGACACAACTAACATTATACCAATTACAAGCGACGACACAACTACCATTAAACCAATTACAAGCGACGACACAACTAACATTATACCAATTACAAGCGACGACACAACTACCATTAAACCAATTACAAGCGACGACACAACTAACATTATACCAATTACAAGCGACGACACAACTACCATTATACCAATTACAAGCGACGACACAACTACCATTAAACCAATTACAAGCGACGACACAACTAACATTATACCAATTACAAGCGACGACACAACTACCATTACACCAATTACAAGCGACGACACAACTACCATTATACCAATTACAAGCGACGACACAACTACCATTATACCAATTACAAGCGACGACACAACTAACATTATACCAATTACAAGCGACGACACAACTACCATTACACCAATTACAAGCGACGACACAACTACCATTACACCAATTACAAGCGACGACACAACTACCATTACACCAATTACAAGCGACGACACAACTAACATTATACCAATTACAAGCGACGACACAACTACCATTACACTAATTACAAGCGACGACACAACTAACATTATACCAATTACAAGCGACGACACAACTAACATTATACCAATTACAAGCGACGACACAACTACCATTACACCAATTACAAGCGACGACACAACTACCATTACACCAATTACAAGCGACGACACAACTACAATTTCACCAATTACAAGCGACGACACAACTAACATTATACCAATCACAAACAACGACACTACTACAATTACACAAACTATAAGCAACCACACAACTACCATTACGCCGATCACAACCAACGACACAACTACAAACACGCCAATCACAAGCGACGAAACTACTACAATTACGGCAATTACAAGTGACCACACAACTACCATTATACCAATTACAAGCGACCACACAACTACCATTATACCAATTACAAGCGACGACACAACTACCATTATACCAATTACAAGCGACGACACAACTACCATTATACCAATTACAAGCAACGACACAACTACCATTACACCAATTACAAGCGACGACACAACTACCATTATACCAATTACAAGCGACGACACAACTACCATTATACCAATTACAAGCGACGACACAACTAACATTATACCAATTACAAGCAACGACACAACTACCGACGACACAACTACCATTATACCAATTACAAGCGACGACACAACTAACATTATACCAATTACAAGCGACGACACAACTAACATTATACCAATTACAAGCGACGACACAACTACCATTACACCAATTACAAGCGACGACACAACTACCATTATACCAATTACAAGCGACGACACAACTACCATTACACCAATTACAAGCAACGACACAACTACCATTATACCAATTACAAGCGACGACACAACTAACATTATACCAATTACAAGCGACGACACAACTACCATTATACCAATTACAAGCGACGACACAACTACCATTGCAGCGATTACAACCGGAGACATGACTACAAATCTGCCAATCACAAGCAATAACACAACTACAAACACGCCAATTATGAACAACGACACAACTACCATTATGCCGATCACAAACAACGACACTACTACCAATATGCCAATTACAAGCAGTGACACAACTACAATTATGCCGATTACAATCAACGACACAACTACCATTATGCCAATTACAAACAACGACGCTACTACCAATATTCCAATTACAAGCAGTGACACAACTTCCATTACGGCGATTACAATCAACGACACAACTGCAATTAGATCAACTACAAGCAACATCACAACTACAATCACAAAGACTACACAGTCCAGCCACAGTACAACTTTCATTACAACTACAACACAGCAGAGCAACATCACAACAACACCAGCAACCACACAAACAAGCAAAAGCACAGCAAGTACTCCTACAGAAGCTTCAGAAAGCTTGACAGCTGTGCTGACTACAGCAACACTAACAAACTCTACTAACACCTCTCCTGAGACTCCTGTGATGACCACCACACTTTTACCCTCCCCTTTCACCACAAACCCAAACCTAACAGCCGGACCCCAACCCTCTTCACCTACCTCCATCACCACCTCCAGTTCTCTCCCTACCTCCCCAAGTAGTAGCACTGCAGCCCCCACTGGAAATACTACCACCCTTAGTCCCTCAGCAACAAACCCAGGAGGTAGGAACAATGTTATTTAATTCTTACAAAGTAAACTTTACAAACAAATGCTGGTGAATAGTAGGAATTCAGCAAAGACCAGGAGTTAGGCTCCATATTCCATCAGTTTACCAGATTTTCACATCTCTCAATGCAGATTTTTGAATGAAACAGCGATTTAACCTTTATCTTTAAACACATTTCCTATAGGCCTAGTAGATAAGACTAGTGTCTAATTTACACTGAAGGATTCAGCTCAACTCCATTTGATGCTGCTCAAAAGTATTCAATGCTAGCATGGTGATGCTAATGAGGTTTTTTATCATGTTCATCATTTTAATTTAGTATGCTAACTTTTGCTAACTAGCTCTGTTGGATATTCTCTTATCTGTATCCTTTAACTGATCTTCACATATTTTTGAATGTTACAGTGACCATATATACCACTATGACTCAATCACCTGAACCATCAGTTGGCGATGCATCAGCTTCATCCACCACCCTCCCAACCCCCACCTCCACCATCAGTACAGGCACCATCATCACTGACACCACCCTGCGACCAACAGAAGTCACTACCACTAACTCCACCACAGCAGCCCCACCCACCCCTCCAGTCATAGGTTAGTATCTTCCAAAAGTTCCTGGTGGTGCAGAACTTCATAAATTACCTCACTAACCAAATGTAATCTATTTCTTGGTTGGAATAAAATCCTGCATACACAAGCATCCAAATTGATGAGATGATTGTTTCAATGTCTTGTTGCTAAAACGGTTTAAATGAGAAAAAAACCTTTGCTGATTTGTTGCATTCAATGATTATAAGGCTATAATCAATATCATAAAAACAACTATTTCAATGTTATGTAAATTCTTCAAGTTATTTCAGGTTAAACAAACTCAGTTCACATAAGAAATAAATCTGATGGCTAGTTTTTAACAAACCATTTTTCTCCATTAGTGTGTCCTTCCGTCCCATGCCCACTTGAAAGCGTTTGTCTTAATGGCACTTGTCAGTGTCTCTCTGGTAGCTTCCTGGTAAATGGCCGCTGTGCACAAGGTAAGAACATAATAACATTTATTGTCTGGTCAGATGAGAAATGCCTAAAATACAAATTATTGCAGGGTGTTGGTGGTGAAGCTTCCACCTTATTTTCTACTCTCCTCTTCATTCAGCCCACGTTTTCTCAGGCAAGCTTCATCTCACCTCCTTGACATTTAAAAATGAAATGAGCAACAGGTCCTCTGTAATATTCCGCGAGACGGCGTTTCAGATCTCAGCAACGGTAGGTTGGGATCCCACAAAAGCATTTAGAATTCCGTTGACACATTATTTACAGTGCTTTAACCACATGCTTTTTCGGTTGCACAGCTCAGAAATGCCCTGAAGAATCAGCCGGGGTATAAACAGTCTGATGTTGTGCAGCTTAAGTAAGTATTTTTTTCATCTCCAACTGCTAAATATTCTATTCCATATTAAAAAAAAATTGTTTAACATCTTTTGATGCATTTCTATATTCTTTTAGACCAGGAAGTGTGCAGGCAATTGTAAATAACATCTTTGAAAACACCAACACCACTCAAAAGTCTGTTGATCAGGCCATTCAAGAGGCTATAGCCAATCCAGAAAATACATTATTGGCTGATGCTACGTTTATAGGTAAGTAGTGCTAGTAACAGGCTACATTCATTAAAGAAGAGAAGAAAGGTATTTATCCTACATTTGTTTAAAATCTTCTGTTTTAGGTACAAACCTGTGTGTGCAGGAACCCTTACCCTGTGACGTCTCAACTACAATGTGCACAAATACAAACGGCCGGCCTTTGTGTTCCTGCAGAGAGGGCTACATCTCTATCCTGTACTCAAACAGCAGCTGTAAAGGTTAAAGCAACTACTAAATATTCTTTATTCTCATATTGACTAGTGTTAGGTTTCAGTAAGTAGACTACAACATACTTTAGCATTTATGTTGTCATGTTAAAAAAAAGTACACTTTACAATGTGCTGCTACATTATGGATTATTAAAGCCTCATGTAAAAACAAAAAATGTTTAGGTAAGAGTGCTTCCTGGATCCAAATAGAGCTGAAGTGTAGTCTTAAAAACTGCGCTTCAGTTTAGAAAACTGTAACAGAGCCTTCTTATCCTCAGTGAAATACTTGTGTGTGAGAATGAGTGGGAGAAATAACATGTCGACCCTTACTTCATTTATGTCTCTAATTTACTTCTTTTTAATAGGGGGTTGTTTCCCAGGAAACACATTGAAGAATCACATCTGTCTCTGTCTTTTTCTTTTGAGGGTTGTGACTAAGGAGATGAGCTCTAGGCATAGTAAAAGAACGACAAATGCTGCATGCATTTTCTTTCCCAGCAACGACATAATGTACCATTATGTGCTTATTTAAAATGGTCCATTAAGAGGCTTTTATTATGCTCATGCTTTCATTGCGTGTGCAGCCAGCCGTACTGTACATCTCCTTCTACCGTGACTCTGAGTGGGAAACTGTATCTTGTTATGTTCACATTTCATTCTAATTTTGTAAAAACATTGTGTGTGTGTGTGTGTGTGTGTGTGTGTGTGTGTGTGTGTGTGTGTGTGTGTGTGTGTGTGTGTGTGTGTGTGTGTGTGTGTGTGCGTGCGTATTTGTTTGATTGTTTGTTTAATCATTGTGTTTCTCTTTTATAGCGTGTCCAAGTGGGCAAAGGGCAGTGGGAGACACGTGTCAACCGTGAGTATACATTTAGTTTAAAGGGTATGTTTAGCATGTGCAGGTGTGGGATGGCTGTGTATTACTGTATGTTTGGGACATGTGGATGTGTAGGTGGCCCCCCCCATGTGGATTCAACGCTAAACTTAATTGATATTCAACAAATCTTGTGTTCAATCGCTCTGTTTTGTCTCTTAGATGTGCATTTGGATATGCTGGCTTCAACTGCAACGACTGTGAGTAACAAAGGACTAAACAATGCAGTAGCAACAGTCATGTGTGGACCCGTAAACATCTAAATGTCTTTATGTGTGTATTTACAGCTGCTCTGCTGGCAGTGGTGGTCATCTCCTGTGTACTGGGAGGAGTTCTCATCATCCTTTTGCTGGCTTTGCTCATATACTGCTTCCGGTAAGGATATATTAAAAAAAAGTCCTTTACATACACTTTGACCAACATTAGCCCTGTAATTATTCAGAAAAAACGCATTGGGTAATATTCATGTCAAAAGACAGAAAAGTTGAGTTTTATTTTTGTTAAAAAGTGTTTTAGTTTTGTTGTTACAGCATCACTTTTGATAAGGCTGGTGGTATTCCATATGTTTCTATTTGTAAAAAATATATTTGCAATTCATTCCATCTTTCAGTGTACTTACAACACGTTGGTGGTAAAAAAGACTGTGGATATGTATATTGTTTTTTTTAATAGTTTTTGAACAACAGTGTAGCTCTGTGACACAGGAATAATTTAAACAAGCTTTGGAAACAAAGACAATTATTATTGCATGACCATTTGACATTTTCTGTTATCTGTGCATCAGTATGCGAAGCTCAAAGAGCAAGCCAGACCTCAGTCGCAGTCCATACTCATCAGGGGACTTAAACCATCCCTGGCCCACTGGCATCACCCCCATCCCCCGAGCCACCTCTAACTGGGATGCCGCTACCCCCATAGAGATGACAGATGGGGGCAGCGCTCGTGTCAAAAAGCATCAAACCAATGGATTGGTGAGTTATCACACCTATCAATCACTTACCAATAATCCTAAACTCACAGTCTTGCATAGTGTCGATCTACCACTAAATCAGCCTTTAGTTTGTTCAATGTTGCCCCAACATCTTACATCCATTTTGCATCTGCTTTTCCAATGAGCATACATTTGATAATTTACAGGACAAAAATACATCTAGGTGAGGTGAATATCTGGCTTAATTAGACATGTACATTTCTAGAAACATATATTGTTTCAATGGCTGTAGCTACCCTAGTTACGCTGAAACATGTTTTGTTGTACACACATTTAACTCAGTCTTAGCCCTAAACACCTGGATATTTTTGACCTGCAAATCAACACATCCCTGCTCACTGGGTATATAATCATCTCGTCATTTCAGAGACAGATTCAATGCTTTGCTGATATGTTATCAGTCCTACCCACATCACAATGTTCAACCCACTCATCCAGAATGTATATTTATAGTGGTAACACATAGCTCCCTACCATGCTCCCTGCTTTGCCTGACTCCCAGTGTGTTGCTTTAGGGGTTTCATCCGAAGCAGAAAGGATGGAAAAAGGTAAGGCATGGCTTTGCTTTTAGTTTCTGATTTTGCCTTGATTCCCCCTGCTGATGATTTAGCATAGTGAGAATAACGGTGGAAGGATTCCCGGGGTGATGGGGAGCTTCATGAGAATCTGATTGTTGTGGAAAGCCGTGTGCTTTCATCTACATGTTAATGTAGTGAGTGACAGTTCAGAGAACCTCAGCTGATGCTAGGTGGGGGAGTAGTCATTTTCACTGCATATTGGTGAGGGTTACTTGTGTATGTGTGCTTGGCTTTGGTGGGTGTTTGTATATGTCTTCTCTGAAAGATACTAACATGTTGACTGTTTCCACTGACGTTTCAGTCAGGATCATACGATCTCAACCCAGATGGAATGAACACCTTCACAGGTAAAAATACCTCTCGTTACTCCTATCTGGTTCAAGGACATGAGAACCCCTACTTCTTACCAGGAGAAGACAGTAAAAACTGAGGACATCTGTGTGAAAATGAGGAACACCTCAAAGAGAAGCCACTGATTTAAACTGGGTATACAGGACCAGGAACATGTATCCGTTCTTGAACTTGCTTTGAGTAAGAACAATTCTTTATTGATAAACAGCCACCAAAGATCTTCCTTCATAAGAGGATGACATTTTGATAACATTTTTATTTGAGGTTTTGTGTTCTTTGGGAAAGCTGAATGTTGCGACTTATAACCAGTAGGTGTCACTGTTGCTCAGGGACATTTTCTTCTGAATCTGACTTTTTAATACTTATAAGAAATCCTCATGTTGACTTTATAAATGAAGGTTCTTATATTGATAATTGCACTAGAGTGTATGTTAAGTTTACGACCAATGGTTAGCCTGGAATGGAACGTACTTTAAATATTGGGTTTATTGACACTTTTCTGATGATTTTTTAGACAAATTAATCTTGTAAGACTAAAGGGGCTGGATCCCTTGTTCTGGGTATTTTTAAAGGGATTTATTTTATCGCCTCTTCAGCTAAATATTCTCTGTATTTGTTTAAGCTGCATTTGCAAAATGTGCCTGTTTCAATAGTCTGTTTGACACAGGAAATATGCAAAGCTGGTGATAAAGTTTGTCTTATGGATGTGCCAACTGTCACTTTTATACATTTAGTTTGACATTTCTTAAATATATATTTATCCGTGTGTGTCTGAGACAGTGCGCTATTTAAGTGTGTAAAGGCTATGTAAATAATTGAATATCTTTGGCACAGAATGAGTGTGTGTGCGTGTGTGAATGCAAATAAATTAATTTAAACACAACGATCATGTTTCTCATCTTTGGTGGCTTTGTTAATACTGCTTACATTTCCCGTTATTTAATTATAATGCATTTCTGTGTCTTTTACAGCCTCTCCCTGTCACTAATCATCATTATAGATTAGGATGACACTGATAAGTTAGTATTTTTATATTGTGCTTTTGAGGTTGTGGAGACCCCAAGCCATCTTAAGCACCTTTAAATCATATCATACCTTGTTTTTTTTGCCTTTATACTTCTTGACTTGTCTTTTACAATCAGATTTTCTGTCAAACTGAATTTTAAAACACATTTAAAATAGAGCAATCGGTTGATTTAGCAGATATTAATCACACACATGACGATGAGGGTGCCAACTGTTCTTTTTATTTATTTATCTAACGACCATTCTACTAGCATTTACTAAACTGACCAACAGGTGGCGATAAAATGCCAGGATTGGCCAGAAAAGAAGAAGAAGACTACAAACTAGGAAAAGTAACGCAAACAATTCTGTATTTATAATCCTTAGAAATGGGCTTTGCAAAAGATTTCTGCAGAACATACTTCCAAAACGTTTGTTAGATTGCAGTAGTGATGGCAAAATGAAGCTTTGAATGAAGCATCGAACCACTTGTACAATTGTGTCGGAAATAGGTTCATTTCTCGAAGCTTCAGTGACAGCTGTCACCATAGATATATATAAACACATGGGAAAATCTCCCATGAGCCATCTAGTGTTTATATATATCTATGGTCACTACCCTATCCGTCCCCCTGCCCGATCGGTACTGCGCATGTGCGAGATGTCCGCCATATTGGACAACTCCGGACGGCAACCCAAGATGGACACTTGACACAGTGGCTTTTAGCAAAATAAGTGAGAAATGAATTTAACTACTGTTAGACAGCCATATGCCATACATTTTTGCATACATTCACAGTAAATATTGATTCAGTATGATGGCTGTCTAAGAGAAGTTAAATCCATTTCTCACTTATTCTGACAATGTACTTAACCCCAAATAAAAGAACCCAATAAAAAGAGTTGTTAAATAATAGTGAAGGCACGTTGTAATAACAATAACTCATCTCTCTCGAGTTTTCTTTTTGAGCTTTGCTAAAAGCCACTGTGTCAAGTGTCCATCTTGGGTTGCCGTCCGGAGTTGTCCAACATGGCGGACCATCTCGCACATGCGCAGTACCGATCGGGCAGGCCATAGACTATAAAAGTCTTACCCAAGGCTGAATCATAAACTAAAATGTATATGTATGTATAAAGGGTTACGTCCTTAGCTGGCTAATACGTAGCAAGCTAAGCTACCAAGCACACAAACATCTGCGAACGGGGTGTATAATATTATCATTTTAGACTTCTTGGAAGTTCTGTTAGTACATTCAAGTGCACAGCACAACATTTTAATTGTCTTTCACACACACATACGGGTTTTGGGCCGAGGGCGACACCGTACTTCCGGTATCCACCATTTCACACGAGGTGCAAGCAGAATATCATAGTCTATTGCCTTAATCAATATCTAGTCAACTCTAAAATACCACATATATGCATTGGCATGATAATATTATTGTGACAAGTGGGGTATTCACCTGGTGTTTGCAGAAGATAGACGTAGATGCTGCCAAAATCGACCGAAGGCCACTTTCAAGGGTCGTTTTTCCATACATCTGCAGGCAGTCTGTAAGGGCAATCGGACAACCCACACAGCTCTAGTTTACGCTGGTAACGACCTAGAGCACACCCCTCAAGTCCAGAGATGTAATCCAAAGACATGCAGCGATTTCTTCGGTCGTTAATTCAGAAAAAAAACCTAGTGCGCTCTGCCTGGCTACATTACCTAGCTGTTTATATTAGCACCTCCAGGATATTAGCACCTCCAGGAAAATGGCGTATTTATATATATATATATATATGGCGCCTGTTGCATTGTGGGTAGCTCGTGACGTCACTGTGTGTGAAAGAATTTGTAACAATATTCCCTAAAAGGCACAATCACCACGAACACGGCTAAAGGGTCAAGTACAGTAACTACAACTAACCAGAGCCATATAATAGAAGAGTTACGACATCTCCGTTCACTCCAATGGACCACTTTTTTACAGCAATGGCGGATCGTGGAGCCTCTCAATCGTTCCCCGGAAGTTATAGAGCATAATAGACCGTTCGTGACGGACTTTTAAAGGTAAGAAGAAGTTTAAAGATTTATATTGCGGATATTATCAGTAGCCTACATCTGATTCAAATTAACATGTGTATTAAAGGATGTCAGTGGATTATCCCTAAATTAGTAGATTTAGGGAACGTTTACAGATAACAGATTAAGCTAGGATACCGAAGCAAGTTAGAAACAGACGTTGAACAGCCTTTTAATTGTAAATTCCGTTCTCTTAATGTCTATTTGGTCCAACGTTGTTGAATTAGAGAAGAGGGGCTTCTAAACGGGATTGTATGCGGGGGTGGAGGGAGTTAAATATTAGATAAATATAACTTTGGTGCGTGTAAGAGTGAGTGTTTTTAGCAGAGCCATATTGTGTCCTTGTGATTATGTTGATTATTACCAGTCTGTATAATGTTGCAGCTCAGCTGATTTTGGATTGATGGCAAAGGGAGAGGAATTTAAGTGAGAGTGAAAACACAAGGTAAGTTTAATACTACTGTTTTATATAAGTAAGCATATTAAACATGTATTCTATCACTGTATTATATAAGTAATCTTGTTAGTAACCTACTGTATGGCAGGTGGAGGGGCAGTGATGTTACAGGTGGAGGAGCAAAACTGCAAGACTGCAAACTCACAAGACAGAGAAATCAAAGTTTGTTCTCCAGAGAAGAGGTTGATTTCACTTCAATTTTTTATTTCATATTTTCTAAAGATGTGGAAATGGCAACAAAAAAAACTTGAGAGCTGTAACCAAGACAACTGTAACAACATGAGTAGAGAGCCACCAAGGTTTTTCAAGTCCCTCTCTTACTCCATTTTGCCAACCCAAACTTCCAGGTACATGACGGGACACCTTGCTTGTTTTTGTTGTTTGCGCTCCTGTGGCTGGGTGCTGGCAGGTGGAGGGCAGTGATGTTGGCAGGTGGAGGGGCAGTGATGTTACGGGTGGAGGGGCAGTGATGTTAGCTGGGTGCTGGCAGGTGGAAGAGCAATGTTTAGTCCAAATATTTCCATTGCAACGACTAATGGAAATGATTGCAGCTGTGGATCTGTTTGGGGGTTGCTGGATGTGGTAGCGTGGCTGCTGTTGTTCCTTTTCACCTTTTTGGATTGGCTCTTGCTTCCAAAATGGCCATCTTTTAATTTTATTTATTTTCTGTCATTTCTGATTTGTTTGGCCTCAATTCTCAGCCTCAGCCGTATGAATCTTTTTACGAGTTGTTGTTGTACTCCACAGCATGACGGAAGCCTGCTGGAGAGGGCCTGAGCTTCTTTCTCCAAGACACCCACTGCGTTGGGGAGCTGCATGAGGGAGGAACCAGTCTTGGTCCTAAATAGTTCCTCAATTTGGTGAATGAAGTCAAAGGCTTCTTGGGAGGGACGACAAAGAGCACCTGCCTTGAAGTCTTTCAAGTCCACTAACAAGCTGTTGTCACCAGAAGGACTCTCATCATGGTGCTCTGTTGCAATTTTGAATTTTTCACAGATGCTGGCAAACTTGATGATTTTGTGGACGATCTAGCCTGCAAGATGGAAGAGAATACATTTCTCAGTTTTTGTGAGGTCAGGTGCTGCTGCTCTGTTCACCGCCATCAGCTGTTCCACTCTGACTGATGGAGTGATTTTTGGCTCCCCTGTGTCCAGGAAGTCTGCCAAAAAGCTACTGTGGTCTTCCTGGTAGCTCCCAGAGCTGATGATGGTGAGGAACTGCCCGACAGATATGATTCTCAGTGCATGAAGGAATTCCACTGGAGTTGGGACAGGATTTTTAGACCTCACACAGCTGAATGTATTTTCAAGGCAGTCTTGTGTGAACCTTGACGTTAACACAAACCTGTGTCCTTGTGTAAGCATCTCCTCTTGTATGGCCAAAATTGATGTTGTTGCCATTATCACCCCTGTTTGAACAGGCTTCCAACCTCCCTTTTGACCTATCTTTATCCCACGAAACAGATGGACGATGTTCTGGAGGAAGGTGATGGCCTTTTGGTACTCCTCCATCTTGAGCCTGCTCAGGGCTGTAATTGGATGGCGAGATGACATCAGATCAAACCAACGATCAACCTGCTCCAGGAACCACGCTGTCGTCAGGTATGACAGAGGGCGGTTTTCTTGCTGCACCATGTATTTCAGCCCAGCACTTGTAGCCTTACTGAACACATTTAGAGCAAGACCAACCTTCATCTTATCAAAGTGACTTGGCTCGATGGCTGCAGCTGAAAGATGGGGAGCTATTTTTAAGGCCATCCCTTCCTGAAAGGTCAATAAGTCCTTAATGGGGACCACAGAAACCTCGTTAGAGGGGAGGTTCTCTCTGTTAACAACATCCTCAGGAATTATGAAGTCCTGCCCACGGACAAGGGCACTTTTTAAAAATGTTACCAGATGTGGGACATCGGGCATGAAATAGAGCTGCCCGTCTGGTTTTGCTGGATGTGGCACCGATGTTTTATTTTGGTCCACCCCAAAGGATTTCCACATGGCTCGGTTAGGGCTACCCATGTCGGTGGTGACATCAAGCACATGTAGCCCTATGGATGCTGCCCTCTGTATTATATCAATAATGATTGGCCTGTACTCTGCTCCATTGGTAGAATTGCCAGTGTAATGATATGCCACTACTTGCTTCCACCGTGTTGTGTTTCCAGCCAACATAAACACACAAGCATGTGTTGCCACCCCTGTGTGACCTGGTAAAGTCACATCACCGTACAGTTTGCCTGTAATCATGTCTAACTCCACACTTGGTGTGATTGCCATTTCATCCAAGGTCAACACACACTCCCTTTCAAGGTCTGTCAATCTATCTGCCTTCAA